ACCGAGTTTCTAGCATCGTTATCAGCAAACGGGTTCGGAGGAATCACGAGACTCTCCTCACTTCCTTCCAACATTGCAACAACCTCTTTCATCGACGGACGATCGTTCGGACTCCACTGTACGCACCACAGCCCCACAATAGTCAGCCTCCTCGCTACATTCCCATCCTCCCCTTCCTCCACCCGAGCCCAGAAATCCTCCCCAAAATCCGAATCCAAACGATTGTAAACCCATTGAGGAAAATACACTTGGCTCGTGTCCACGTTCGGGTCCATATTCTTCCTTCCCCCGACCATCTCCAGCACCATCATCCCGAAGCTGTACACATCCGACTTATACGAAGCCCTCCCGAAAGTCCTCGACAGCACCTCGGGAGCAATGTAGCCCATGGTCCCCCGAGCAGCCGTCATCGTCACTCCACTCTGCTCCTTGGAGCAGAGCTTCGCAAGCCCAAAATCGCATATCTTGGGCCCGAAGTTCCGGTCGAGCAATATGTTGTGCGGCTTTATGTCGAAATGTAAGATTTGGTGGTCACAGCCAACGTGCAGGTACTCGATGCCCCTGGCTATGCCGAGGGCAATGTCCCGGAGCTTAGGCCAGCCAAGGGATGCTCTCGACGAGGAGCGGAAGATGAACTTCTCGAGGGAGTCGTTGGGGAGGAATTCGTAGACGAGGGCCCGTTTGGAGCCCTCGGCACAAAAACCGATGAGACGGACGATGTTGACGTGGTGGATTCTGCCGATGGTGCTGACCTCGTTCACAAACTCTTCGCCGTTGCCCTTTGAGTTGTGGAGAAGTTTGATGGCGGCGTGTATTTGGTCGGAAAGTTTGGCCTTGTAAACGGTTCCGTAGCCTCCTTCGCCGAGTTTCTCGCTGAATTTACGAGTGATTCTTGTGATGTCGGAGTAGGAGAATCTGGTGGGCTTGAGGGCTCGATAATCTTCTAGAAACTTCTCGATCTTGATGTGGTTCTCTCTGTCTGATGTAATTGAGATGTAAAGAAGGATAAGGGCTGCGAGTATTGCCACAACAAGGCAAGTACCTCCTAATAAAGCACCTACAGAAAGCAAAAGGCTTGTCAAAAATATATGAGAGGCTAAAATCACAACTTTACGTAAACAAAATTGTTCTTTGAAGTAAATGAGAAAAATAATAAATTAAGCAGGCTGGAAAGCAATGTTCACCTCCAAGCAGTAGCCCATATGATGCTCCTGAGAACAACAACAGACAACAACAAATATATTAGCTTTTTTATTATTTTGTTTCCTTTTAGCTACACATATGATGAACTGTTTGCCTATTGTGAATGCATTTCATGTTCAATTTGCTGATTTTCTGGAGAGGGGAAGTGTTTTTTTTTTGGTTGATTTTTCCGAATATAATTTTCGGATGTAGAAATTTGTTTCTCTAACATATACCTTGAAGTCTTTATCCAGAATAGAAGGAAAAAGGACAAATGAAGAAAACATGCATGGCAAAGAGATGGGAACAGTAAAACATAGTAACTTGATTACCCTTCTTTTTGGTTTTGTCAACACACTGAATTTGATGTCTGATAGTAAAATTACTTGATGATTTGCATCTCTGTTCTTGAGCTTCACAGACACCACATGCAGGTTCAGACCACATGAGATGAAGATAATTTTTACCAATCATCCTACCGGGAACAGATGGATATTCATGTATTTTGGTACAAGAAGCCAATGAACAATAACGCATTTTAAAACTATCAAGGACAAAAATGCGATATCTGGAATCATCAAGACAAGGAATTGTGTCGAGCCAGAAGATACAACGGTTTTCGAAAGGTGCAGAACAATTATACATGGTATAATTGTGGTCGTTATATGAGAAGAACCGAAACGGGGAATTGGATGACAATAAGTTTAGCTGTGGTAGCTTTCGGGGGAGGCAATTTTCAGGATCATAAAGATGAATTTGTTGAGTAACATAGTCGATGCGCTTCACTGCAACTTGTACAGAGGATGGCAGTAGAAGCATAGTCTCGTTTTTCTCATCGCAAAACACTTCAAAACCTGGATACCCGCAGTATTCCGGGCTTCGCTCTTTTATCCTGAAAGGAAATCGAATGTTAGGCCCGTGTTTCTTGCAACTGGTGGGCTTACAGTCATCAGTTTCTAATCCAAGCACTGCAGTGAACAAAGACAAGCAAAATAAGATGAGGAAGAACGAGATGGACGCCATACTGATACAGGGCTTTGTATATTTAAAAAAAGATGGTATAAATATATCCAAAAAATTACTAGTGATTACCTCGTGAATTATGCATGGTTGGAGAGTCAAATTAACCTACCAAACACCAAAGAATAATAATGTCACATTCACATAGCTTTTACATAAACGTGACAACAGAGAAATTATCAGCAAGAATTAAGCAACAGAGAAATTTCCAAGGATGGTCTTGTTCTTGTATGGACGGAGACTAATGATTCAATGTTTCCTTCCCATTAGAGTCTTATTTCGTTTGGTAGAGATGTGACATGCTCGGTGTCTCATTGGTCCTTTTTTTTTTTTTTCGGGTGTCTCATTGGTTGACTTGACTTTAATTTACTTAATTCACAAAGCTCGACTCAATATATTTTCAAAGTTAATATTTAGGGAAATGCTACGGTCCCGTTACGGTACCATCCCGTTCGGTATTTTAACCGTTGGATCATCTATCTTATCTAACTAAATATGGATCCAACGGTTAAAACACCAGACGGGATGATACCGTAACGGGACTGTAGCATTTCCCTAATATTTATTAAAAAGCAAATCTAAAAAAACCCTAGTCGCGAATTAAGCGAATTTGTGCATCAATGGTAGCTAATCGGAGCCCGCCGGACGACTTAAAGGTCGACCCGCCTGATCGGTGTTACACAATAATGTGTTTTGAATTAAAACGGGAACCTATGAACTGAATAAAGACTTCAGTTCTTACAATATGAACTAAAACAGAAATATAAATTATAACTCGCCGAGGCGATTGAAATCTTTTCGCAAGACAAATATGCCCCGTATATTGCTGACAGGTCAGTGCGTAATGCCCCAAAGATACAACGACTATACACTCAGAAGCTGTAGCACACCAGCCTTCAGAGTTCCGACGAACAGGAATGAAGTCGAGAACAGAGTACTTTGATATGATGCGTGAGGCTTTGAAGTATTCTGAATGCATGAAAAATGTTGTGTATTTTTCTCTGCAACTCGAAGTTCTATTTATAGGACCTCCACTTATTGAGGGAAACCAAACAGTCACATCTGCCACTTAAGACAAAGATAATGAGCACCATTAACATGAAAACGTTTCAAGTATTAAACACAATTAACCAAATGTTATACCATTAAATAGTAATTATCCCCATTACACTCCACCTGAAC